CGCCGGGTAAGGGCCGGTGGAGTGTGCACAACCGTCATCTCCCCATTGCGCGCCGGACCTGCGTGTCCTGACCGCTGACGCCGTTCCTCTACCCACCAACGCTCCCTTGTGACCGCGGTTAAGAAAGGCCTTCTTTGAAGGCGCTGGAGCTAGTGTCTAAACCCTCCGAGAGGGCACAGGTTCGATTCCCTCCCATGTCGAAACTTTGTGAGGACAAACGCGGCATAGCTGACCGGCTCAGCGCCAATCCAAGCCAATTCCTTCGGGAACGCCTAATAGAATCGCCAAGGCTTCGGCACAGGCCTCCCCGGGACCCATTCACTACTAGTGGGGGGTACTGCACTTGGCGCGTCGGGCAGATCAAATAATGGTCTAAAGCTAGACGTTAAAACCGGGAAGTGAAGCTTGTGGAGGCTCTTCCCCACCTTTACCTTTACCTTTACCTTTGCGTCACCGTGCAGTTTGGGCAGGAGCCCCCGCCCCAGGAAGATCTCGACGAGCTGGAGCCGCTTCCTCCCCGGGGTGATGGCTTTTGGTTTGACCTGTTGAACACAATCTTCGGGGTGGAGCAGCCATGATGCGGCGCTGCGGCTGGGAGGGCGGAGGATAGCCAGCGTTCTGAGGGTTTGCATGCACCATGCTCATGACCGTGCGTGTACCCGTGCCTTGCCAAAGGCTGCATGCCTTATGTTTTGTTCGCCGTGACAACCAGGCTACTGCTAGTGTGGGTAGCCCGTGTGACATGCACATATCTACAGTAGGGAAATATGTGAACAGAGTGTTGTGGCTATTCGGCGCATCCCTGAGGGTCCCAGGAGGGAGGTCCGCGGATTGGTGGGCAGTTGAAGGCTGGGGGCAGGTGGCGCATGATCAACAGCCTACTCAGTGCGCCAGACGCAACGTTCGGTTCTCAGCCAATGGTGTTACAGTCACCCCGCTATGATAGGCCGCGTGAGCAGACCTTGGGCAGGGGGCACACGTGATCAAGGGGCATCAAGAGAGGGGGTGGACCATGGAGCACCCTCTCCATGGCTCCGACCACCCTCCCCCCAGCTGAGCGTCCCAGGGTCACCCCACCCTGGCCCCGCTCCCCGTCCTGCCGGACACGCAACCCCCACAACGTGGTGGGGGACGTGGGGATCCTTAGCAGCTTAGGCCTGCCAGGCCGACGGGTGCCGATGCTGGTGCGGGCTCCCGGCGGCAGGCAGCGCCGCCGCCGGGCACTCAAATGGCATGGGGCACACGGGCCCCCATGCCCGCACATCTCCCAGGCACATGAAAATACCAGAAGGCTGCACATGTAAGGGTGCATGCATTGCAGGCAGGAGTGCAAAGTGGCCTGCCGCGGCGGTTGGCTGTGCCATTACTCAATCAGCCGCCGCTACTGTGCCGGGCTTGGCGTTCCCATGCCAACATGCCGGCGTACCATCGCGCAAGGGCCAGTGAGTGTGTGAGGTGGTGGTGGGGGTGGTGGGGGTGCCGCTGACCGCTGCTTGCTGACGCTGACGCTGCTCTTACCTGCAGGGGGAGGGGGTTGGTCGGGAGCCAAGGCCGGGCAAAAGATGCCTGGGCCCTACTCAAGGGAACCGGGGGAGTCACTGTGCCAGGGCAGCAGCGTGCTCCTCATGGCACTGGTCGGCAAACCGGGCCAGCCGGCCCTGCCTGGCCTGGCCGAGAAAGGCGGCCAGGGAGGGCAAGGCGTGGCCGGGACTGTGGAAGAGCTCAGCATACTCCTCCCTCAACCCAGCGTACAGGGGGCAGTCATACACTGCGTGGCGTACATCCTCTAGAGGGGCCTGGCAGTGGGGGCATGGGCGCTGGGTGCGGTCCAGCCGCTGCCACCGGCCTGTCTCCTCAGCCATCCAGTGCGACCCCGTGCGCCACTGCGCCAGGCGCACCCGGCGCCGGCGCTCGGGCACATCGCACAGGAACGACGCAGGCGTGTAGGCCTCCGCAGAGATGCTGCCCCCCCACACGTCCTCAATGTACCGCTGCACCTTCACGGATGCATGCGTGTACGAGGCAACATGGCGCTCCAGGAGCGCTTCCGCCAATTCAGGTATGGCAACCCCCTCGTCAGCAGTCAAGTCGCAGGGGGCGCCGGCCGCCGCGAGAACGCGGCTAACCTGCGCTGCCCAGGGCTGCCGGGCCAGTGGCTGCCCTGTGTCCGTGTCGGCAGCCAGCGCAACGCTAGCGTTGGGGAACGCCAGATCTTGTAGACGTCTTCGGCCCCGGTGGGGGGAGGGTCATTCCTGCCCTTTGGCCAGCCGCCGGCCTCCCCATGCTTCATTTGAGTGTATATTGGTGTTGTTGTACTTTGCACTTGAGGAAGACAATGAAATATTGGAGTTTCAGGGAGTTGAAAGTCAGGGGCAAGCAAGACGTCTACGGGTGAGGGGTCGCCTCTGTGGGGTGGGGGGCAGCATGGCTTCACATGGCCTCCGACCAGCAGCCACGATACATATTACGCAGAAGACGCATACATGCTATGTGATGCCCAAGAATGTCTGATAAAATATGAGCGTTCCATCAGCAGCCTCCTCCTCCTCGCCGGTACCGTCACCCGCCCCCTCGGCGCACTCTGCCTCACCGGCCTCTGCTGTCAATGATGGCTCGCCAGCCGGCTCCCGCATCAGGTCCTTTGCCAGCTCAGTTGTAAACTCGTAGCCTTCCAACAGCAGGTGCATTTCATTGATCACCCGGGTGTAACCCATGATAACCTAGTGAGCCGCTGGCAGTGGGCACAGTGTAGACGGCGCCCTAGTCGGCCGGCAGCTCCTTCCACTCACCCTGCGGCGTATGGTGTGCCAAGCAGGCATCACATGGCTTGTCCTTACGCACTTGCTTGTGTGGGCTTAAAGTCTGGTAAAGCAAGAACTAGCTTGCAACATAGACTCCCCGCCGAAACGGGACGGGAACCGGGCGAAAGCAGAGAAAGCAATAAAACAGGGGTGGAGCAAGGCGACATGCAACTAAATCATGCAAGCCACACGATATGCCACCCGAAACACACCAGCTTGAATGCGGCTTCCAACATCGGAAGCGCCGGCTCCATCGTCGTCATGTTGCAGAATACGGTGATGGACACAGATGGAGACCCTGTGCCAAGCAACAACGGGTTCATATCTTGCATGGCCCGCTGTGCAGTCATTGCTGCCTCCATTGCGCCCGTGCAACCCGCGGCCAACGCCCCCTAGAGGTTGGTTATATGGCTTGCATTTATGAAAGCTTTGGCATGCGCTTTGATTGATAATGTAAGCCATGTGATGTTAGGTCGTGTACCTCTTCCTGGCATTGGAACACACCATCATCATGGGGACTCTCAACGGGCCGCGGCTAAGAAAGGCCTTCTTTGAAGGCGCTGGAGCTAGTGTCTAAACCCTCCGAGAGGGCACAGGTTCGATTCCTCCCATGTCGAAACTTTGTGAGGACAAACGCGGCATAGCTGACCGGCTCAGCGCCAATCCAAGCCAATTCCTTCGGGAACGCCTATTAGAATCGCCAAGGCTTCGGCACAGGCCTCCCCGGGACCCATTCACTACTAGTGGGGGGTACTGCACTTGGCGCGTCGGGCAGATCAAATAATGGTCTAAAGCTAGACGTTAAAACCGGGAAGTTAAGCCTGTGGAGGCTCTTCCCCACCTTTACCTTTACGGGGTCTGTCGTGTTTGGTTCTTGTGATAGCTCAAGGTTGCCCCCTCCTGATTGGTCAACCTCGGTTTGGGTTGCATAGGCCGACGCTAGCATTGTGGCGGCACTTGCTGCCATCATTGGCGGCGGCGGTGATATTCCACTTGCCATCACTGTCTCCTGCTCGGTTGATCGCAAAGCGTGCACAAATTTAGTTTGGGTTGTCAGGGTACTTGGAAGTAGGTCCCTCTCACCCACCCGCTGTTGGTCCTACCTTGCATAGGGAACTGGAGATCCAGCAACGCCACGCCTAGCAGGGCATTCAGAGATAAACCAAGTCGTGCCCCCCGGATGTGGTTGTGGTTGGGAGACCCGGGTGAAGGTGGAAAGTATTCCACTTCGCAAAATGGAGGCGCCTTGGCTACTCGAAGCATTCAGATTTCCGTTTGCCATGGCCCGGAGAAGGCAATGCTTCGCTTGAAACTGACCTTTCGCCCATGGGGGGTCTCCTGCCACTTCTCGAACCAACGGCCAAGCCTCTTCTTGGCAGCGCGTTGCACAACTCAACGTTCACAAGCACAAAGCGTGAATACTTGAAGAGTTCCACATTGCTCTCGGTGGCGGGAGAGGCTGGTGCAACTGACGTTACCTCACTTCAGCTGTCGCTGGACCAAGGGCTCCGATGTGATTACTTGCTGAGATCTGTATCAATATGCGAGTAGCCGGAGCCCCTGACCAGCGTGTGGATGGCATGCCGCAAGTCTTCTTCAAAGTCATACTGGCGGCGCAGGCAAGGAACCGACACATGTTTTTGCCCATTGGCATTGTACAATGTGCACATGTGCACTACCTGACAGCTTCTAATTGGATGTGCACCATTCACCCCTTTTTGTAGACTCCTGCACCATTACGTGGTGGAGGTTCAGCGACGGCGGCGTGCCCACCGCTGCACTGCCCACCCCCACCGCAACAACCCAACCAACCAACAACCGTTCGAGGCAAGGTCTGTGAACAGCCAGCATGAGCGGATCAAACGACATCAAGGAGCAAGGCATTGTTTATGCCAAACAGAGAGTGGTAAGTGATGGGCTTCACATGACTTGTATTGGAAGGCGCAGGCTGTTGCATTGCACATCCAAACGGAAGCCATATGATTCGGTTGACCCCCCCCCCACACACACAAACACCCCCACACAGACCGACACTCCTCTCTGCCGGGCGGGAGGGGGGGGGGGGATGACGGCTGATTGATTCATTCACGATGCACTGCATTCAAATGCATGAGGAGGCCGTAGATCAGGCTTCCAACGAGAATGCTAGGCCAACTGCGAGCCAAGAGGTGAGGATGTGGTCATTGCTGGCTGTCTTAACTTGCGTCACGAATAGCACTTGCTCGGGAGAGACCCCCGGCCACCACCCGCCAACCACCCCCCATCCCCACCCCCCAACCCACCGTCCTGTGCAGCACCGTGACAACCTGGATAGGATGGTTACCGCCCGGCATGCACAAGGAAAGTGCAACAACCAACAAGAAGAGGAAGGCTGAGGAAGCCGAGGCTGCAAGACAGGCAACAACGGCGGCGGAGCCTGCAACACCGCTGCCGGTTAAGCGACTGCATTCGTGGTTGGGGAGGATGTATCCACCTGACGCCTGTTTGCATGTCACTCCAACCAGTTGAGACATATGCAGACATGTAGTAAAGACGTCTCTAGAAGTACACAGATGTAGTGCAGAGGTTTTGTAGATGTCTGTAGATGTCACAAACCGGCCAACGTCAGGCAACGTCTGTAGACGTCTACGGGTTAGACGTCTGCAAGACTTGCCCAGTTCCACATGTGGCTATCCAGCATGGCAAGACGGGCGACCCGCTCGCCGCCCATAGCCTGCAGGTTGCTCACAAAGCGTGCAACCTGCAAGGTCCAGTAGGCGGGCAGCGGCAGCTGCCCCATCTCTGCCAGCACAGTGAGGGCTGGGGTGCTGTCCCGCACACCCAGCAGCCCTCGCAGGTACTGCAGCTGTACCCGCTCGCATGCCGTCCTGCCCTGCAAAATCAGCTGCGGCGCCCAGATCTGCCCCGTACGACAACGTCGGCAGGACGTAAGACTTGAACGCACGCATGCTGAGCAGGGGGTCCTGCAACCCATTCTCGGCCAGGCGGCGACGCAGCAGGTGCATCGCGCGCCGCCCAGCCTCCGCCCGATACGATGCCGCCGAGGCAAAGGCCTGCCGGCAGTGCAGGTGCACGCCGAGGTATCTGAAGGTGGGGACGGTTTCCACCTCATTGCCGCCGTAGCGGAACCGCTCCTCCGTGGCAGCAGCCCTGCCAGTGGTGTACACTACCACCTGGGTCTTTTTGGTGTTAACCGTCAGGCCCCAGGCGGCACAGTAGCTCTCAAGGTAACCAAGCTGGAAACGCAGGCCTGCCGGCGTGGTGGCCAGCAGGGCCTGGTCATCAGCGTAAAATAATGGCGGCACGCACTCCACGCTCTGCCAGCGAGGCAGAGCCGCGGCCGCAGCCTGTTGCACCAGCCCGGACTCGAAGTCATCCAGGAACAGACCGAACAATATAGGGCTCAAGGGGCAGCCCTGCTTGACCCCTGAGGTGGCCTGAAATGTGGGTGTGTACCCACCAGGCACTCGTACGCACATGGGAACCGCCGCATAGAGGGCCTGCACCGCCCGCACCGCCCAGCCTCCCAAGCCGGCGCTCTCCAGCTTCT